TGACTGTCGGGAACCAGCAGAGAGGCGGCAGCCATTTTGAGATGTGACCACATGGCTACTGCCTCTCAAAATGGCTGCTGCCTCTCCAGAATGGCTGCCACCTCTCTGCTGGTTCCCGACAGTCAGCTGTTCGGCGCTGATGCTGTCCTTCTTCCAGCAAACTCTCGCTCTCTCCCAGCGAAAGGAACCAAAAGCGGCAAAACGAACTCTCCCCATGATGCAGCCAAAGCAGAGTCACGCATGCGGAAGAGAGGGTAGTCTTATATGGCAAGTATATAGCAAACTCTACATTTTGAGTGGAAATGTTTGGGGGTTGTCTTATACGCCCAGTCGCCTTATATGCCGGCAAATACGGTATTAACTTCTTGGGCGCTCTAGCTGTTGACTGCATATCCCTAACAGGGATTCCTAACCTGTCATCACTACTAGTTCTAGCAACTGGTGGGGCAAATGCAGCCAGAGGGGTGGGGTAGTTTCAGAGTCACATGCTTCTGAAATACTACCCACATCAGATGCAAGTGTACTTGAGGGGTATTCCCCCCCATGATGCTTTGCACAGGAGATATTTGCTGGGAATAGGGGCTAACAATGAACACTTCCTTGAATATGATGGAGCTGCATGGTATGGATCTGAAGGCAATGTCTGGTGCTCTTCATAGATCTCTTTCCAAAACACAAAAGTAGCACTGCTGCTGCCCATGCTGACAATATCAGTCTGTGTTCTGTTGCTGTCCTTGTCCTGGCACATCAGCTCTTTGTTTGGGAGAAATGTCCCTTCACCATATTTTTTTTGCCCCTTGCCCTGGCTGCTCTGGCTGATTGCACAAAAACATCACTGGCATACTTTGAGGTTCACTCATAGCTGTTCCACTCATCTCTACCATCTCCTTGGCGCACACACACACACACACACACACACACACACACACACACACACACACTCACTCACTCACTCACTCACTCACTCACTCACTCACTCACTCACTCACTGTACTGCTGCCTTCTGCTCTTTCAAAGTATCTATGCTGAACAAGGCAGCTGGGTGACAGATTTCGTTTGCGGGGGGGGAGACTCATTACAGTAGTTGCAGGTTGTCTTTTTCCTCTCTCTTTTCCTTTCCTCGCAGTATAGACTGCTGCCTTTCTCAAATGCCAACATCTACTACTTCCATGATTCATCCTGCCTCCACACTCTTCCCCATGAAAAACAGCATCTTATTCTGCTACAGCAGGACACAAACCCTTCCAGGAAGCCTGACCCATGTGATGAGCCATGCAGTCTTTTCCTTGGTATTAAGTGCACATGAGAATAATATGTGTGTACTGAGTAAAGACTGAGCTGGTTGAATAGCTCAGTGAGATAATGCACCTGGGACTGAACATTTTCTTGAACCCTCATTATTTGACAAGGACTTTGTCTGCTTTTTAAAAATGATGCATGTTATTCAATTTATCAGCTGATGTTCAATTTATCAGTTGCAGTAGATCAGCTATAGGAAGAGGGTCTAGAACAGGGGTCCCCAACCCCTGGTCCATGGCCCGGTGCCGGTCCATGGGCTTCCCAGGACTGGGCCATGGAGACGGATCTCCAGCCCCCCACCTGCACGCATGGTGAGTGAGTTGTGCTTGTGGGGGTGTCGTGCTCATGGGGGTGTGTGTCTCACTTGTGTGGGGGGTGTTGACACACCCATCCACAAGTGTGACACACCCACCCACAAGGGCAGGTGTGCCCCTGCCTCCCTGCACACAGAGCCCACACCCCCAACCAGTCCACTGTTCCAAAAAGGTTGGGCCCCCCGGCTTAGAACATGTTCATGTAGACTCTGAGATGCTGATTGTGTTTGTAACAGAAAAATGTGTTTGATAGGAAAGATAAGTTTACTTAGTTAAAGTGAAGGGTTCTAAAGATGCATTCAAGATAAGATAGTTTTGATCTAATGAGTGCTTGGCATCTGGACTGAGAGATGACTCAACCTCTGAATCACTGTCGTTATTAATAATTTATTTGTTTTTAAGATAGAGAGATAAAAAATCTCTCATAGTACTAACAGATATAAATTATGATTGGTAGGTGCTCCTACTCCAAAATGTCTATGAGAACTTGATCATAAAATATATTTTTTCACAGTTTGTAATATATAAATTATGAGGCCATGATGGCGTTTTTTGCTTCACTTCTGTAGTCAGATTTTTCTTACATTTATTTTCAGTAAAGGTCACATGTTTTATGTGGATAGAGTAAAGATCAGTAATATGGTTTTGTATTTAAATTTGAGATCATTTAGGCAAGGTTAATGGCTAATAAATATTTATACTTCACTTGTATCTTTTGAAAAATAATGTGTCAAGACACATTGTTTAATAGGGAATCATTATTTATTTTCAAAATAATAGGCTGTACTTAGAAGTCCCCAAACTAATTCATCCACAGTGGAATAAAATATGAACACAAGTACTTTTTTTCCTAGCAGAGCAAAGATAAGTATAGGGCCTACTCTAGTGTATCTTACTATGTTAAGCGATAGAATTTCAACCCAGATGAATTTCAGCCACAATTTTTTCATAGAAACAAAGACAAATGTCATATAATATTTTGACCTTCCCATTTTGTAACAGTAGTTAAGAAATCAGAGAATGCTATATCCGCAGTGATGAGTGAGAAAAATGTGAACTCATCTCTCCCATTTCCCATCTGCATTAACTGTTCTGTAACACTAATATTGGCACCTCTTTACACAATACAGTCCTCTACATTTTCACTGGATTCAGTCTGATTTATTCCTAGCTAGGTAGGTGTGTAATATTGCAGGCCCAGCAGTTAGAATGTGTATGGTGTTACTGTTGTAAATTCTAGTTTTAAAGGATTTCTCTTCCAGGATTTTTTATACCATTCCTTGTGTGTGTATGAACCAGCTTCATTTTCAGTAATCTTCCTACATCTAATTATGCAAGCTTCTGTTATGAAACCATATGCCAAAATATCAAGAGGTTCATGCCAAAATAAGCCAGTTAACCTCCATCACGGAGATTCTTATGCTCTTGGATTGACATTTTCCCTTAGAAATAGAAAATAGGACTCAAAAACAGCAAGGATAGAACTGTTAAAAATGGTAACCTTGGTGTGTGGGTTTTGTACACACTGCTTGTTTTTCTGTGTTAAAAGCAGTTGAATCTCAGTACAGAGTAAGTGACCCAATGGTCTAAGCGAGAAGTGTGTAGATTTTGCCCTCCAGTGCCTTTTTCCACATTGAGAGCTTTTTCTGCATGAGAAAAATGAGTGTAGAGAAGACTTTGCATCCTCTCCATTAAGAAAAGATGATTGCTAAAGGGTGTGTATGGGTGCATATCTGTGGTGTTTGTGATTAAATTTGCAAGCTCCCTGACTAGCAGTGTTATGGATCCTTGACAGAGTCCCTGCTTGTTAAAGTATAATAATTAGGCTTTTCTTTCTGTTATCATTTGTCAACAGCAGGAATGTTAATTAAAATCCCCTCCCATTTGTTGACTGTGTATGTACTGTACAGTATTTAAGTATGTACGTATAATCTTCCCAAATCTGAATGGCTGTAGCTCTGAATTTTGGTCAGGTTCAAGCCTAGTTGTCCTTTTGGTCTAGAGGCTGCATGTTCCACACTGGAGGAGACTGCAGGGTGTGGCTGCAGTGTGGCCAGGGCAAGTAGCCTAGTGGAGCACTGCCATGGATATCACTATGGAAAGGACCATCCTACTGCCTTGGCTACCTCAAAAGCTGCTGTCCTGGTATGCAGGAAGACAGGATGGGGAAGTTCGCTTGCTTGGTAGACCCAGAAGAGGGAACCCAGATGCTCATTCACTTGCAGGAACTGAACCAAGAAGTGTGTCACTTCCCTAATGGAGAGATGCATCTTTCACGTAGTTCACAAGAGCCAGTGAACTATGTGAAAAAAAATGAGTGGGATTTGCTTAGGCTGGGTGTTACAGCGTAATACTAGCCATGAGAATATCTAAATAGTCTAGCATGGAGAGAAGAAGAGAGCCCTGAATAACCTCTTCTAGGAGCAGAGAGTGTGCATTTTGGAACAACTGTGGTTGCTTGCCCACCGTATCACACAGGTTAGTTCCCACTGTTAAGTGGGAAGGAAAGAGGAGAGCCATGTAGATGTCCTGTATAAATTGGTTTCTTTTGGTCACCTAAACACAATCTTATCCACTGTGGTAAGCTGCAGTACATTTCGAAACCTGAGGTCACTGAATGCTGGGAAGGAACTTATTGTCAAAAGAGAAAGGGTGGAATGGGGGACAGAGAGCATTGTAATATGTAGAGTCCATTAATACTTCTATGCTTTGATTCAGAGAACTGATTGTGCAGATTTGCCCAGTGCCACTAGGTACAAGCCAGGGAACATGATTTTGTTCATTAGAAGATGATAATTGAATAAAGTAACAGGCCAAAATCCGGTTGGCATAAAGTTATTGTGCTAGTCACTGCTGTGTACTACAGTAACAGTCACTGCTGCTCCCTCTGTTATACCTGGTAGGTACTCTGTTAGACCCACACACATGTTTGTTAGCTGTCTCTTTAGCATCAAATATTAGACTCTAACCTTGTAGGTTCAAAAATGGCCTGAATTTTGTGTCAAGTAGCCAATTAAAGAGAAGTACCCGTTGTATGGTGGGTTTAGGTGTGGCAGGATGGAAGTTCCGCCTGAAAAGTTATTTTATCAGAAAATCTGGGAAATAAAAGCTATCAAATCTATTTGTAAGAGTTAAAAAGTTTAAATGAAAGTGTGATTTCCCCTTATTGTACATTTCTTTCTTTCAAATGTTCCTATCTCTTATTCTGATTTCATGTAAATATTTACTTAAATATCTTTCCAGTACATTTCATGGTAATTATTGATTAAAGTTTCATCTTTAGATTTTTATTTTAAACTTGTGCTAGTATATTCTTTATCTGATGGTAAAAAGCAAGTTTGTTTTCTAAATAATTTTACATTCAGACTTTCCTCCTTGTTTTTTCAGGGCTGGGAAGAAAGTGTGGATGCTTCTGTCTCTCATTTGTTGAAAACCTGTTTGTCCAAAAGTTCTAAGGATCATGCACTGACACTTTCCAACCAGTTGTATATTCCTAAAGATACTAATAGACTGAAGAAACACATAACTCTGCTCTATGACAGACTGGCCAAAGGTGGTCGTATGTCTCTAAATATGGATCTTGACTCTCAGCAGAGCATGATTCTGCCAGGTAAGCTATTTGATACATATTTGCCTGCACCCCATTCAGAAATAAAGGAATGTAACTCTGGTTAGGTTTGCAGTTTAAGTTTCCTATTAAAATGGTGATAGTTAAGAGAAATGACTTTCCTTTCCCCCTCAAAAATTCCAGTGTAACCACTGAATAAATATGCTAGTGTAATTTTGATGCCAAATATTTTTAGAATAGTACGTATTTCTTTGCTGTAGCGTTAAATATGATCCATTATGTTTTTCTTCTAACCAATAAAAAGTGGATTAGAGAATAAAACCATTTTGAGCTAACGTTTGTCTAAACTCAATCATTGCTTGCCATTTTTTCAAGAACATAAATAGACTAATACAGGAGTTAATGTACGCCAGATGACCATTTTGTGCTGCATTCAAGTTAACCACTAAGTTCAGCTGAAAGGCACACAGAGATACGAGTTGCTACTTTGTGAACTTCTGTATATGCATTGAGGGTTTCGAGCACCTTATAATGAGATCCCAGAAATGTGATTAAACTGTTTGTGCTTAAGGAGAGCTGTTACAAAGAAACTGTTCATGCAATTCTTCTTTTGTATCCTCCTAGACTTCTTGTTTCCTTTGTCCAATTTAGCAAGTGAAAACATCTACTAGGAACTTGTGTTGGAAGGGTGGTTCACAGCTTCATTTGCACATGTTGATGGAACTTCACTAATGTAAGACATCTGGGCAATCTCTTCTGAAGACAGTGCAGGGAGAAGACTTCCTCACTAGTCCCATGAGGCCTCATCAAGTTTTGACACTGTGGTCCCTAACAGTTAATTTTGTTTCGTTGAACATTGATTTGGGTTAGCATGCCTGATTTTCAGTGGAGGGTTGTGTATTCTACTCTTTTTTTTCAGAGCAGATTCCAAAATTAGTCCTAAGAAGCAAGTGTACAGGAATGGTGTACAGGTACACCCAGATCTTGTGGATGATAATTTTTCCTCTTTTTTTATTAAACACTATCTAAAATAGATACAGTAGCTTTAAACACAAAATTATAGTACTGTGAAAGAAAAAAATAGGAAAAAAAGGGGGAGCAAAGAAAAACAAAAACAAAACAGTAAGTCTGTACACAGGTGTCTGTGAAAATTTTCCAAATATTAAAAAAATCTATTCATGTGTAGTTGCTGTCTGTGTACCATATACAGTATTCATATGTTGATTGTGTTGTAAGGTCTTGTCTCCACTAGAATATTGGTGGTGGGCATCTATTTTTCCAATGTTGCAAAATCTTTTTTTTTTTTGGCAGTTGTGTGGGCTTATGGAGTCCATCTATGCTGGGCAGTGGTCAGTCTCCACAAAGCAGGTATATGCATTAGGACCCCCTTATCCATGGGATCAATATCTTCTGATTCACTTATCCAAGGTCTGAAAATATTAAAAATAGTAAAAGAAAAGTCTCCAAAATATTTTTAACTGTGAAGTTACCAGAACTGGCCACAAGAGGGAAGCAGAGACCATGCTATGTATAGAATTCAATACTATAGTAGCATTAATTGTAATCTGCATTTTTCAGCATCCGCATGGTGGCTCGGAACCAATTCTCCCATGGATATGGAGGCTCTACTGTACAGTAGTTTACAGAAGCTTCAACAAAGATCAAATATTGGTCCAGTACAAAATTAATGGGGTCACAAAGGGTCGGACATGACTTAACGACTAAACAACAACAACACAAAATTAATGCAAGTAATAACTATTCAAAATCAGCTTTTAACTAATAACATACAATTAAGAAATGCATCCAGAGAATCATAGCACCAGCATTTTGATTATTTGCTCTGCGGGCTAAACCACAGAAGCCTGTGCTGCAGGGTCAGAAGACCAGCATTCGTAAGATCGAATCCACGCGATGGAGTGAGCTCCCGTCGCTTTGTCCCAGCTCCTCGCGAACCTAGCAGTTCGAAAGCATGCAAATGCGAGTAGATAAATAACGCCGTTCCCTAGTCACACTGGCCACGTGACAACAGAAACTGTCTTCGGACAAGCACTGGCTCTACGGCTTGAAAACGGGATGAGCACTGCCCTCTAGAGTCGGACACGACTGGACTAAAAACGTCAAGAGGAACCTTTACCTTTACCTTCCTAAAAAGATCTTGTGGTGTCTAATATATATCAAACATTATCTTGTTGGATGAGTCATTGCTTGATATCTGTAGATAGCTCTATTACACTGGTAGGTAGTGTCTTCCATTGATTATGTAAAATAACACGATGTAAAATAACATGATCATTTCGCTGTTCCATTCATCTTTGAGACCTTGTGTATTGAATATATTAAATGAGAGTAAATAGTTATAAAGAAATAATGTAGGTATCTTTTCTTGGACTGAAACAGTAAGTATCTCCAAAAGTGCAGTAGACTTTGAAGTACTCAGTGCTGCTGAACCACATTTAGATATCAATATGAACAAAGATATTAGGATTTTGTCTAATGGACATCGGAAAGTCGTTCCACGTACAAATCAAATATAAAGTATATATTTTTCTGCAGTGTGGCTGATAGTGCTCAATAACTGTAACAGGATTGCAGAATATGTGGCAGTTCAGATGTTGCTATACTCCAATTCCCACCAGCCCCACTTGGACATTGTTGAAGGATGCTGGAGTAGTAGTTCATCACCATTTTGGATGGCCACAGGTTTCTAACCACCATTTACTTAAAGCCACAGGGGGAAATCATCTCAAACTCTAGAGTGCTGTGGTACATCTTCCTCTGTTACCAGCTAAGGAACTAGGAGGCTCAAAGTGAAGCCATACAGGAAAAAAAGCAGTATTGGTGGGGAATTGTGATGAACATGGTTTTATTAGTTTGCCCTTTAGAGATCGAATAACAGTTACCTTCTTGAGCCAGATGCATATTGAAGAAGGTGCTTCTTGACCTGATGCATGTTTTTGGTAAACAAAGGATAACTTTGGCAGGAGTACTTTTCTTATCAATTACTCTTGGCAAAATAGATTTATCCCTCCTATGAAACAATATTTTTAAATCAAGGATTATCTGTTCTTGTCTATGTTGGGCTTTCCTTAAGACTGTGTAGAAGCTGGTGATGAGTGGGAGGTAAGAGCATACGGAATAAATTATGCAATTGCTACTCTGACTACCAGATGTCTTTAGATTCAAATCAGGTTGTTGGTATGGGCTACTGATGGACTAGTATCTGCATATTTTAAAAGTGTTCTTCATATGTTCCTTCTTCAATGAAGAATAAATGGGGAGGTTTTGTTCCACATCTTTAAAAACGGGGAAGGAGATCACTTGCATCTGGGGACCATCTTTGCAGCCACTGCTATGCATTTTTCACAAATTTCATACCATTTCATTGTTGCCTTTGGTTTTAAATAGTGCAGGTCAACTATCTTTTGCATTAATCTTTTGATTTTGTGCTGATTATATATTTAACATATATTACTGGGTTCAGCTTCTATCAGTTTAGGGCCCAATTTAATCTTCGTGTCATATGTTGGCTGATTATTAAATTAAATCTAATAAAAAATAAAAAATATAAATAAATACTCTGTTCCATCACGTCTGGTAAATTGCTAGTTTTACTGGCTTTTAGCAGTTCAACACCAAATATAAAAATGTAATGTAATACTTTGAATAGGGTCTCAGGGCTATTGCAATAGATGAGCAGAACTGCACATTCACCTAATATATACGTATCTCAGATGTGCATGTACTTTTGCCATTGAGAAGCAAAAATATTACACTTGCATGCACACACGCACATATACACACACACACATTTAATAGGCTTTTAATCTTTGGGCAGCTCTAGAAGACATGGCAAATATAAACAAGTTTAGACATTGATTAAGTTGCTATATAGTCATTTATTTTCTACATAATGCTTTAAGGGTTGTGACCCTGTGGGTCACTCATCGTAGTGGTAGGACTTGGTTAATGTTATTCTTTCGCTGTTTTGCCTGTATCATGCACTGTGTTTTCCTAGCATGCTGCAGTTATTCCTGTAAAATGAAATATTTCATTTCTCAGATGACTGGAATGCTAAGATAAACTATCCTGGACATAGCTAACAGCAATCTATAAATAATGCAACACAATACAAGGGCCAGGATCTAGAAGAACCATGGAACTAGCTTTATGAGCCAAAGAATTTTTTTTCAGTGTTTACTCCACTGAAAGCTCCGTTTCTTTCTGTAGCTGACAGTAAGCTGCTTTTGGAACTAGAGGTAGATTTAAAAACAACTTGTGATTCAGCGTAGAGGACGTCAGTGTTAAAAGTTAATAAAAGTGCTAAATATTTCATCAATCTGATATCTCTTTACATGAGTCAAGGCAGCTACTTAATTTTTAATTTATTTCATCTAGAACTTAGATGTTTCCTCAGGTTAACTGACTTTGGGTAATGTGGATATTGGTTTTAAAGTTATACATATGTAGAACTGTATAAATTAATAGTAGTAGTGAATGAAATGTTATGGAGTGCAAAAGGAAATTTCCGTTTCAGTTTTTGCTAAATTCCATTCAGTTTTCTTAGTCATGCTGTGGGTAGTCTTCAAAGTGTGCTTTACAGCTGCAGTTCATGAAACTTTGATGGCTAGTGTTAGTATAATTATTGAGAGGTAAAATATGATCAGAAGGTTTCTTTATGAATGTGATGATAAAGATCAGCAAGTCATATCAATATGTATTTTATATTGTGTTGTCTTTGGCAGCATCTTAAACAGATGGCTTAGGAAGGATGTAAAGGGGTTTGCAGAACTCCGCCAATCCTTAGTATAGGTCAGGGCCATAGAACTCCACAGAAACATGGTTTAGACCACCCTGATGACTCCTAGTGGGTGGGCAAATCTTTTTTTGTAAAGGTAAAGTATAGTGAATGAATTCTAAGCTTTCTTAGTGGTATATTTTTCTTATTTTCTTTTTGCACATTGTGAAATCCATGTAGTATATGGCAGTTTCTAGATCTATTAATCTTATAGCTGCTTTTTACACATTCATACCTGAGGAGA